GATAGCGAACTGTGTAGTGGGTAGATCTACTATACTTGGGTCATTGAAAGAGATAGTGAACTGTGTAGTTGGTAGATCTACTATACCTGGGTCACTTAATGTGATAGTGAACTGTGTAGTTGGTAGATCTACTATACATGGGTCACGTAAAGGGATAGTGAACTGTGTAGTTGGCAGATCTAATATACCTGGATCACTTAAAGTGATAGTGAACTTTGTAGTTGATATATCTACTATACCTGGGTCACGTAAAGGGACAGTGAACTGTGTAGTTGGTATATCTACTATACCTGGGTCACGTAAAGCGAGAGTGAACTTTGTAGTTGGTAGATCTACTATACCTGGGTCACCTAATGTGATAGTGAATAGTGTAGCTGGTAGATCTACTATACCTGGGTCACGTAAAGGGACAGTAAACTGTGTAGTCGGTAAATCTACTATACCTGGGTCATTTAAAGAGATAGTGAAAGTGTATTTGATAGATAAATTATTCCAGGGTCACGCAAAGGGATAGTGAACTGTGTAGTTTGTAGATCTATTATACCTAGGTCACTTAATATGATAGTGAACTGTGTAGTTGGTAGATCTACTATACCTGGGTCATTTAATGAAGTAGTGAACTGTCTAGTTGGTAGATCTACTATACCTGGATCTTTTAATGAGATAGTGAACTGTGTAGTTGATAGATATATTATTCCAGGGTCACGCAAAGGGATAGCGAACTGTTTAGTTGGTAGATCTACTATACCTGGGTCATTTAAAGAGATAGTGAACGTGTATTTGATAGATAAATTATTCCAGGGTCACGCAAAGGGATAGTGAACTGTCTAATTGGTAGATCTACTATACCTGGGTCATTTAATGAGATAGTGAACTGTCTAGTTGGTAGATGTACTATACCTGGATCACTCAAAGTTACAGTGAACTCTGTAGTCGGTAGATATACTATACCTGGATCACGTAAAGGGATAGTGAACTGTGTAGTTGGTATATATACCAAAGCTGGTACACGTGAAGG